TTGATGGTAGATGACATGTACAGTGGCCTCAACTTTGGGAGCGGTTGGGTCACCAAAGAGATGGTCTTCAACCTCGACGACAATTTCCTGGCATTCCCATTTCAAAACACAACACATATAGCTTCAACCCCTCGTTCTATGTTTAATTTTTCCTACACTGGTAAGCAGAGCATTCTATTTACAATATTTTCAGATTCATTGTGTGCTTCCAGGCTCAAACCTGTCACTTTATGGTATCTTTGACTGGGATCAACTGGGCAGCTATGAACTCACCAGCACAATTGATGATGAGCTGCCAGTGTCCAAGACATTTGATGCAAGAATTGACTCAAACCCTGAGGCATATCGTCAACAGCTTAACTTTGTTCTCTTTTCCAGGGAACTTGAGGCTGGAAACCACACAGCCACTTTTACCTTGTCCAAATGTTTCAATCAAACATTTATGGTTGACTACATCACTTAACAGCCATCCTTTTCTTCCTTGTCAACCATGCCAAATTTGACAGGACTCACATTTCAGTTTCCAAGTTCATCTCCAAACAATCCAGCAAACTCAAAGTTGCACACTCCCGCCTTAGTAGTAGTCATCGTGGTAGGTTTTGTTATATTGACATGCCCATCGATCTTCTGTAACGCCTTTGTGTGCTTGGAGTACAAGAGGGAGCAACGGAAGGGGGTCTTGAGGTGAAATCACAGTCAGTCGAGGGCTGAGTAGACAATGGTTCGTTTCAAGATACTTAGCTATTACAAATCAAGTAGCTACTCCTTCTATACTACGGCAAAAGGCGGGGTTAGCCGGCCGAGCCGGATCCTTACATCTTGCTCTTTTTTTGGCGGCATCGGCGACAACAGAATCGACCTTCAATTCCACTGACATCAGACTCTGAACAAACACTTTCCATTGAACCTTTCCATTCCATCTTTCAATCCACTATGCACCCCAAAAAGCAGATGCAGCTCATTGCTTTGCCCTCACACGAAGCAACTATCTCTGGGGAGAAATCCGAGCGACCCAAATCAATGATACCAGCTGCAATGGCACTGGAAGCTGTTTCTGCTCCAGTGGATCAGCAGGATTTGAAGGACAGAAATGAGGTCGTGGATGCCCTTGCAGGCCCTTTGAATTATCAGAGCGCATGAAAATCATGACAAGATATATCCCGACCTACGATATACCCGCCTTAGACTTGGGTTCAAGCGGATTTAAATTCGATTTTCTATCTACGCATAATATAATGATGCACTTCATACTGTGTGAATGAATTACCGACTTAATCTGCCGCCTAAGCTACGGGTTTAAATCAGTTTGCGCCACAGATTAAATAGGTGAGCCGCTCCATACTGTTTTAAACCTCCGCTTCAACATTAAACTGACCATTTGAACAGTGGTTTAAGTGATTGTCTTTAAATGTAATACTTGTACATTCTTTCAGCTCAAACTGCCATATGGATTGTGTAGTGTTCACTGAGACAGGCACTGACAGGCGAGTGGCCACTCGACTCGCCAACCACAATTTCGTCGCGTTGATAAGCAGTTTCTTTGAGTTTGACTTAGGACAAGGAATCTCAAACTGAGTGAGCTGCCTTGATGTAACAATATCCACAATCAATTCAAGTAGTCCACTCAACTTATGAGCAATAAGTAGGTTGAGCACAGATTGGCACAGACATAATCTTCAGTGACTGGTGACCGCTGGCGCTTAGGGCTCCGCGCCGTCCCCATTCTGTCTGACCTTGGACATCTCAAGTCGACGGACGTGTGGATTGGCTGTTGACGGCTGACTTAAGATGGCTGACAAGCTGGAGAGGGCTATGTGGTTGGCGCTGGCGTCTTCAGTTGATGTTGAAACTGGAGATGGAGAATCAGAAGCGAGAAGTGATGGAGAATCAAAAGGAGAGATGTGCTTGTGATCGGATCAATGTTTGACACCTGGGATCGGGGCGAGATATTGCATCTGTGGCGTAATGAAGACTTGTGCATTTTACATCTATCTGATGTCCATCCATTGCTTTACAAGTCACTTTGCCGGAGTGGTTAACGGGTTCGCCTGCGCCGGGTCGGTCGAGCGGTTAAATTTCTCGATCGACCGGTGTTTGGTGCTGTTTTGCGAGCTTGCGAGCGGGGTGCAATCTTGCGAGCCTGCGAGCTGACTGGTACTGTATTGCGAGCTTGCGAGCTGACCGGCGCTGTAGATAGAAAATTCTTTCATTCTTATTTCGAGGAGCGCAGCTCCGAGTCTCCGTGCAATGTCAAGAAGAAAATGTTCATTCTTCTTTGCGAGGAGCATAGCTCCGAGTCTCAATTCATCGAGACGGTCGGACTGTCCCCGAGGAGTGCCAGCTCCGAGTCCAAATAGAAATTTAACCGCTGTCGATCGACACCTCGTCGGCTCTTTGGCGATCGACGTCATTCGGTGAGCTCGGCGACGCTCTCTCCCAAGCTGATTCAAAAATCATCCTGGCTACGAATAAATGGCAAGATTTTCAGTGTGAATTCTGCAGCGTATCGTCGGCTCTTTGACGATCGGCCAGGTCGTCGAGAAATTAACCAAGCCGCGGTCACGACATCATTCGGTGGGCTCTCAATATTCGCAGCAGCCTCACTTGTTGCGCGTACAGACTGATTCAGAAACATGAGAATTTGCGAGCATCTTCGGCGCCAGGACATCTGGCGACGTCATTCGGTGACGCCGGCGTCTAAAATGATGTCACGACGTCATGCTGCCGTCGCGTGAGAAGCGCGGCACGGACGGCGTCTTCGCTCAGGTCGCCGTCACGTTCGCGTTTGTCGTCTTCCACCATGGGGCTCAGGACATCGAAGAAGCGCTCTGCCGCCGATGTCCTGCAGGAAAGGCTCCAGAACTCCGTGTTCAAGGAATTGCATTCCCGAGACCTCGACACTTTTCACTATAAACGGATAATGCGTCCGACAAAACGGCACCACGACCTCATCAAGAAGCACTACAAATTGTATGCAGACGAAAAGGGAAATATTCATCCAGGGGATATTGTGATTGGTACACCATGGCCTGGTCAAGGTGCGTCTCTTTTTTTCTCATTGAAATATAGCCGCTGAATCTGATATAGCATATGTCAAAGGATTCGCTCTTTATCTCTGTCTCTCGATTGCCGGCAGATCATCTCCATTTGTCCGACGTGCGACCATCAAGTCGTACATGACAACGTTTCTCGCGCTCTGGGCTCGGTACTCCGGCTTCGTTGTGCCTCCAACAGACCGTCTCCAGATCTGGGCATTTGTCGGTTCAGAGGAGGTTCTCAACACCATTCCCCTCTCCACTGCTGTCCGCGCTACGAAAGCCATCGAGCCAGCATGTCTTCGGCTCATCTGTGAAGCAACATTTTCCTGTCTAAAGGTCTTTCGCACGAATCGCATGCGGACCCAGCTGTCATTCCTTATTCCTTTCTCGACCTGGAGCACTGGTCGAGGCCACTTCCTATTATGGATCCAACCAAGCCCTTGAATGGCGTGACTTTTCCTTTCACCTCATTCCAAACGAGACAGCGGTGCCATGTTTCCCTATGATACTTTTCTGTATGCGACCTCCTTTTTAGCTATATATTCGCTTGGCCACTGTAATTTCCAACCATTTGTACAGTTGTAAATAAGTAGCCGCCCACAATGAAATCAAAAGGCGATGAATATGATCAAGCAGCAAGCAGCGCAATCTTACGTAAGTTATTATCGCTGTGCCTTCTCCGCCATCTTGAGATAAAAGGTCAGTAAAATCTGCTCTCTATATTAACTAGCTGACCATGGAACCTCCATTTTCGCTCGCGCCTACCTAAATCCTTTTTTGGACATCATCATGCACTGTCTCCAGGATTCCGATTCATCTCTTTAATTCTTCGCCCCTACGGAATTCTAAACAATAAAGCGTCAAGGAGGCTTTTTAGACGAACAGAATAGGCCATGAAATGTATGGCATTGATCTTGAGCCATATTCTCCTCAATTAACCTGCTTCAGGTGTTGTCGTTGGAGATGGTGCTGTCGGAAAGGTGCGCCTCAGGTTGCTACGATTACCAGAACATCATTCCTTACCTTGTGCCTCAGACATGTCTGCTCATCTCATACACGACCAATGCTTTCCCAGTACGCGGCCTTTTCTGTTGCCTGGTTGCCTACTGACATACGATTTTTCAGGGAGAATATATCCCGACTGGTATGTCGACTCGGTCTCCACAAGCTTGTGGCAAGCCTAACAGAGACACTTCAAGTATTCGATAATTACTCTGCCAACGTTATTGTCGATGGAAAAACAATTTCCCTTGGACTATGGGATACGGCTGGACAAGAGGATTACGACCGTCTCCGACCTCTCTCCTACCCCCAGACCGATGTCTTCCTAATCTGCTTCTCTCTCGTCAGTCCCCCAAGTTATGAGAACGTACGAACCAAAGTGCGTATATTGCTCTGCTTTCTTGTCCAAAATCACCTAATTATATACAGTGGTATCCGGAAATTTCTCATCATGCACCCCAAACATCAGTAGTGCTTGTAGGGACCAAGCTAGATCTCCGTGAAGACCCTGCAACCATCAACAAGCTGAAGGATCGGTCAGTGATTCCAGTCTTGAACCTTTTTTCCAATTGATTGACGTGAACAGTCGTATGGCGCCCATTCAATACCAACAGGGTGTCGCGATGAGCAAGGACATCGGAGCTGTGAAATACCTAGAATGTTCAGCGCTCACACAGAAAGGGCTCAAGACCGTCTTTGACGAGGCCATCCGAGCTGTCTGTAAGTGCGAATTCATGGGTAGCTAACGAAAACTAACATAGGTTTCAGTGAACCCACCTCCTAAGGGCGACAGGAGCAAAGGCAAAGGTCCTAAATGTATCATTGCATAAAGGAGACATATGTGCAACTCGATTCCGCATTCCTGGGCAACATTTACGAACCATTATGCCGCTCCCTTCCAATTCTACAGATATCCTGAATGCCTGGCCATATGATCCTGAGCAGAGCATAGTTTCGTATGTCTCTTTGCCGGAGTGGCCTAACGGGTTCGCCTGCTATTACGCAATACTGCAGCGGATGTGCTTTGCACGCGTGTGTTCGAATCGCACAGGAGACGATTTTTTGTTGCATTGGAATTTCCTTTCAGCTCAGGGATTTCACTGCGGAAAGTGCGCTTTCCGCAGTGAAATTGATCACTCGCTCACCATTGGCTTCATACCCGAAAGGGGCTGAATTTCGACTCTAGAGCATAGTCAAAATTTCGCTGTGCTTTCCGCAGTGACATCGACGTAATTTGCGAAATTTAACCGCAGCGGATGTGCTTTGCACGCGTGTGTTCGAATCGCACAGGTGACGCATCTTTTTCGTCTTGTAGACTGTACTCTGTTCAGTAAGGCCTTCTTCATTTTGCTCACTGAGCGTAGAAATGTCTTTGTTACCTTCAGACCCACTTTGCCGAAGTGCTTAACCGCTCGATCACTCGATCATTCTTTCCCAAGTCGGAGCTGAATCGATGTCTCAAAAATATAACTTGAGTTACTGTGTAAAAGTTCAGTTAGCCTCTCCCCGCTGCTGAGATTCCGCATTGATAGATCTTGTCTAGCATGCTCCAATAATCCACTGGTTATCCGGCTCATCAAGATCGCGGATGATGTAACACCTGTTGCAAATTAGTCGAGGCTTCATTGGATTGTCAGGTCTGCGGGTCACATTTGGAGACTCTAGAACATGTCTGATCCTTCCCTAGAGTCTGGTCATATCATGCGCCGCATTTGTCAAGGAAACAGTGCTGGAGAGCTGGACTGGGGTCTCGTCTCGAGGAGCAGGGGCAGGAGTGACATCAGAGGGAGAGCGGGAATAGCGTTTTCAGTATTGCAGGGACCGGATTTGACTCTAGAGACTTGAGTAGCTAGTCTACTGTCTACTAGAGTATTTAGAGTCCCGGGCGCACTGATGAGTCCCGGTCTACCTTTCCTTTGAGGGTCGAGCTCGTCTGGAATTTTGACGCGTACGTATGAACCTTTTTTCTGACCGCAAGAATGTCTCTATTACTGCAGGAAATCGCTTCAGACCCACTTTGCCGGAGTGGTTAACCGCTCAATCACTGTCCGTTTCAAGTCCCTGATCTAACAAATCACTGCGTTCCTGCGAGGTATCAGGAGAATATGGACACTGAGCCTGGCAATCCTCTGTGACTCCGATGTTCGACACTCGCGAGAAGCGCACTCAATGGGATTTCGCGGATTTATTTTTGGAATTCAAACGGAGAAAAGAACTCACCCCTTTCAAAGACCCAAATGAAAGAAGCCTGAGACCGTTGAGATCGAGGGCTTCATCAAGCCAAGCGAGACTGCTCGTGAAGCTCGCGCTCAGCTTGCTTATTATCCCACCAAAATCAATAGCCGCCAGCATCGTCTCCACCAATTTTCTCTTTCTATCTCCACCGACAAAGTCCGCTTTTATCGTTGGAACCAGGCTGGGGTCGTCGTCTCTCGTGGTTTCAGCTACACGACTGACTCTGAGCTTTTGGTCGACTTTCTTTGGCGTTATGCCAATGCGAACGACGTCCAATGTGGTCACGACACCACTGTATCGCCGGCGACAAAGGAAGAGAAAGCTCTAGCCCATCAGAAGCTCGTACCTTGGGCTCAGAAAGGCATTGAGCACACTGTTTTGAAGATCCGCGTCTTCAACTCGACTACGAACACTCATGTGGACGTTGTGACCTGGCTCTCCCTTCAAGAGCGAAATTCGGTCGTTGGTCGCGCCAGTCGCGGCTATCCTTGCGTCGAATTATCGACCAAGAAAGTCACGTTCTTGAAGGATTATTGGAGAGACATCGCCACGACTCCGGAATCACAAACCATCAAAACTTTGGACGACGTCGGAGTTCAATATACGCCACCCGTACAAGCTGCACGAGATCCAGGACAATATAGAATCATTCATCTATGTCGAACTGTACCATGGGTCCCTTACGAACAGCTACTTCAATTATTCACCGAGGTCTTCGACGGAGATTATATCCAGACCAGCGGCCTCACCACCGGTGGTAGCATCATTGAAAAGTCATCCCTGAATCAGAATTCTCGCCGACTGGCCGCCAGCTTCAAGTTCACCGCCTGCAGTCCGTTGCGCTCCTGGTTAATCCAGACTACACAGCTTGCCAATCAATGGATTGTAGCAAATACGGTCGTCACGACGACGCCGAAGACGAGTCTCCAGGTTGTTCCTGTCGATCTGTCGAGTCATCCCTTCGCACCCACGAGCCTCTTCTCGCCATTTGGAAGAGTAATTTGGAGAAGAATGGCTAGCCCACCGAAGGAACTGTAACTCCTCAAGATCGTCCTCTCATAGTTACCGGGGCAAAATCGCGAAACGACGCCACGATGGGATAAGCATTGGTATCAGTTTAGCGAAACGATCACGAAGTGGCGCAGCAGAGCTCTCTTCTGCTCGATGAATCCTTTCCCATAGTCTATACAATATATCTTAAGCTGCGGCACAATATAAAGTTATAATATAATTGGTTGAACTGGAATTAAATACGATACAGTATCAGCCTCATCCAGCATCCAACTTGAAGGACTCGGAGTTCAGACATTTCAGCTGCACATTCGTCTTCAATCGGGATATCTGCTCCGGAGCCAGAGTGCTACTTATCCCTTTCAATTCTTCGCTCACTTTGCCGGAGTGGTTAAGTGGTCGATCCATCCTAGGTCGATCGAGAAATTTAACCGCGTCGATCGCTAGCTGCCAGGTCGGTCGAGACCTCGTCGGCTCTTTGGCGATTGACGTCATTCGGTGAGCTCGGCGAGATAGCTCACGCTCTCTCCCAAGCTGTGTTACAGACTGATTCAAAAATCATCCTGGCTACGAATAAATGGCAAGATTTTCAGTGTGAATTCTGCAGCGTATTCGGCCGGTCGAGAAATTTAACCGCGCCGATCGGCCAGGTCTTTCGAGAAATTAAACACGCCGCGTTTGTGAGCTGACGCTCTCTCCCAAGCATGCAAGATTTTCAATGTGAATTCTGCAGCGCATTCAAGGTTCCGCTCGGTCGAGAAATTAACCAAGCCGCGGTCATTCGGTGAGCTCTCAATGTCATTCGAAGCAGCCTCGCTTTTGCAAGCTTGAACGGCGTTGCGCGTACAGACTGATTCAGAAATTACGGCCATGAGAATTTGCCAGTTCTTCTGCGAGCATCTTCGGCGCCAGGACATCTGACGACGGCGACATCGCTCGATGCCGGCGTCTAAAATGATGTCACGACGTCATGCTGCCGTCGTGAGAAGCTGCGGCACGGCGTCTTCGCTCAGGTCGCCGTCACGTTCGCGTTTGTCGTCTTCTACCATGGGGCTCAGGACATCGAAGAAGCGCTCTGCCGCCGATGTCCTCCAGAATTCCGTGTTCAAGGAATTGCATTCCCGGGACCTCGACACTTTTCACTATAAACGGATAATTCGTCCGACAAAACGGCACCATGACCTCATCAAGAAGCACTACAAATTGTATGCAGACGAGAAGGGAAACATTATGGTTGGGATAGCATGGCCTGGTCAAGGTTAAGCGGATGTGCTTTGCATGCGTGTGTTCGAATCGCACAGGTGACGCATATTTTCCTTGCTGCACCCTCTTTTCAGCAACCAAGAGGAAAATCCTTTGTTTCCTTGTGCCAGGAGATCACCTCCTGACCACTTTGCCGGAGTGGTTAACCACTCGAACACTCGATCATTCCCTCTCAGGTTTGTGGTTCAATCACTGCAAGGTTTCAAATGTAACTTAGTTACTTACTGTGTTAAACTTTAAATATGGATCGTTCCTGGGTCCCCTGAGATTGTGCATCCATGGATCTTGTCTAGCGTTTTCTCTTTTGAATAAATGTTTGACGCTGTATGAACCGGTATGATCGGTATGATCTGATGATCAAACACAGACTTGAGGAGTTTCCGCCAAATCCGACTTTCTTTCCTTTTCCAGCAATCTAGCTCCTTTCCTCGTTTCTGATGGTTCAGTGTGACTGCTTACACGTTTGCTTAGCTGTTATCAGTGCCATAAGTAGAGGCCACAATTATTGAAAAAACAAAGTTTGAGTCATATTTATTTCTGTATAATACAGTTCTGGCTGATGTAAGTGGATGTGCTTTGCGCACGTGTGTTCGAATCGCACAGGTGATGCATCTTTTTCTTCTTGTATACTCTAAGAAATCCTCCAATTTACTCGCAGAGATGTCTCTATTATTGCAGGGACCGACTTTGCCGGGGTGGTTGATATACCCCGATCACTCGATCATTCCTTCCCAAGTCAGAGTTGAATCCATGTCTCAAAAATATAACCAACTTGACACGGCGGACAATCAGCTGTCATCACCGATTGTCATGCTACAGTCGTTGATACTGTCATTGGACCAGTCATTGTTCTGTCATTTTACAATCTCTTTGTGTTATTATAGAATATTCCCTTTTTTATTAAACAAAGGAACTTCTCAAATTGGTACAAAGTGCCTGCGCAGGAATCTGGATTCATCTGGTTGCTGTCTCTCTCTGACTGCATGCTCACCATCTCTTTGATTGTGTGTTTACTCAATATCAGCTATGAAGGAAAGTTCAGTGGGCAAGAGGGATTATGATGATCTGTCTTTGCTGGTCTCATGACTCCAAAGGAAAAACTTGGAAATCAGAGGATGGACAAATGAAGAAGGGAAACTGGGTGCATCACAGCACAGCAGAGACAGTATAGGGAAAGTCAAAAACTGGAGGAAGAAAAAGTGTTGCCACCAGTAAGATCTCACTGAAATGCTGAGATCTTACTGGTGGTAGCACTTTTCTTCCTCCAGTTTTTGGCCTTCCCTATACTGTCTCTGCTGTGCTGTGATGCACCCAGTTTCCCTTCTTCATTTGTCCATCCTCTGATTTCCAAGTTTTTCCTTTGGAGTCATGAGACCAGCAAAGACAGACATTATAATCCCTCTTGCCCACTGAACTTTCCATCATAGCTGATATTGAGTAAGAGCACACAATCAAAGAGATGGTGGGCATGCAGTCAGAGAGAGACAGCAACCGGATGAATCCAGATTCCTGCGCGGGCACTTTGTACTAATTTGGGAAGTTCCTTTG